TGCTGTACAGAAGCCTTTGATCAGAACAGGCTGTGCAAGCCTCCAGGATGTGCCACCACCAGCATCGCACAGGGTTGTTAATGTGGCAGCTCTGGTTTTCCCGGCTCCAGCCTGATCCTCCTCTCCCAATAGCAAGAGGGAAATCACTATGGAAACATCCACCTGGAAATGCTCTGCTCAGAGGATGCGTGGTTGTGGGATTCAGCGTAATCAAACCGTCAGGATCTGTCCCTGGGATTTTTCCATCTGGGTTTGCAGCGCTGCGATGAAGCACAGCGGCACTGTTCCCCGTAACACCACCCTCCGTCCCCATGGCCTTGGTGTGCAAAGCACAGCGGCACTGTTCCCCGTAAGACCACCCTCCGTCCCCATGGCCTTGGTGTGCCGGGGGTGAGGACGGTCCATGTCCTCCACGTGACATCCCCGGCAGGACTCGTCCCGGGCGCTGAGGAACCGAGGTTCAAGTGAGGTGGTGTGCCTTGAAAACCGGTTATCTAGCCAAGTGCTGAAAAGAGGAGGAAGGTGAGGAAGACGTTTAAGCAGTGATGAGTGCGGATGTTACTGCCTTCTAGGAGCTGTATTAAAATGTAAATTATAGTTAATGTCATCTTACAGGGAAGAAAAGCTCTTGAAATAAATTTCCTATTTTAAGGTAGTAGTGAACTGCTGTGCGTGCACAGCAAAAGTCCTTTTTATAGGCTGTAATTAGCAGCCAGGTTCTGGCTGTTGCCTCCTTTGGCACCTAAAGGGAAACCTAAAGGGAAAAAAAGGCTTTTGATAAAAACGACCACAAACAAAATGTATGGAGCTGCCCAAATCCCCTCGCCAGCTGAGCCATTAGATGCCACCCTTCAGTGAGATGTTACCCACGCAGTTTCAGGAGAGGTTTGTAAACCACCTACCTCCATGCAGAATTCACGGCAGCCTGGGTTTCCTGGCAATCTGGTGAATACTGCAAGCCCTTGGAGGCCTCCTGAGGCCGCCCCTCAGCCCAACACAGCCTCCTTTGCTGGCACGAGTCAAAGGCTTGAGGAACTGTCAGATTTGACTTTCAGCTCTCTCCGTCGAAATACTCTTCATTACTGGGGTAACAGGGAGCTGAGGTACCCCAGGGAGTGGCAGTCCCTGATGCGTGAGGAGAACCACAGGATGCTTAAGGCCATATGGAAAACTTCTTGGCTTCGCTGACCCCACTGGGTTTAGACTGTGCCTTCAAAGGTGTGGGAGATGTTTATGTCTTTTTTTAAAAACCTTTCGTTTCCCTAATCAAAGCGATACATGGAGTCTCGCTGTTCCTGTCTGCGTCCCATTTCTCGTGTGGACCGCGGAATCATAGCATCACAGAATGGTTTGGTTGGAAGGGACCTTAAAGACCATCCGGTTCCAACCCCCCTGCCATTGGCG